GGAGGGCGCCTGCGGGCGCGGCCTCTCAGGCCCAGGCTGCGGCCCGGGGGCTCCGCTGGAAGCTGCAGCGAGGGGCAAAGCGCCCGACCCGAAGCCACGGGGGCTGGCCGGTGCCCACCCCAGGCAGCGCTGTGCACCTGCCTGCCAGGTGGGCTACCTGGGTGCCTTGGTCGCAGGCGCCTCCTTGGAAGAGCAGGTGGGGGGCGGCGCGCCCCTCTGATCCCGGGCTTTGGCGTCAGACGCGTCTGCGGGAGCCGGAAGGGAGCCGGCTGGCCGGCCGGCCTCGGCCAGCAGCTGGGGCGCGGGCTTCACCCTCCTGTCTCTGTGCCGGAGGCCCACCCGCAGAGGGGCTGCTGAGCCCCGAGGCGGGGAACCCGCGACAGCCCCAGAGGGGCCAGCGTCTGCCTGGCCCAGGGCGTCACCAGAGGCTCCTGCTCGCCCCCGGCGCCACGAGCGCCCACGCCTGCTGGACAGCTGCCCATCCGGGTGCTCCCTGCCCTCTGGGAGCGCCCACGCCCTGGGCCTGGGAGAGAGACAGCTCCGGGCTCCAGAGCGGGGCACCCCTGTGCCTATCACCCCGCTGTTCCCAGGAGGAGCTGCCCCCAGCCCCACTGCCTCCCGGCCAGGGCCGCTCCTGCCCCTCACAGCCGGCCCCGAGACCCCAGCTGGGCGGGGTCCTCGCGTGGCCCTCGCCCGTCAGGCCCCGCCGCCCCCGCCCCACTGCCCGGCAGGCCCCGCCCCGCCCGCACCCAGCAGCTTCTTCCAGGACTTGATGAGCGACTTGGCCAGTGCGATGACCTCCTCGTCCGAGCTCTGCTTCCGAAGGGCGTTGACCGACACGCCGACCCGGGTGGACTGCAAGGCAAGGGGCCTGGTGGGGGCGGGCAGAGCGCCTCGGACACCCCTCCTGACTCCTGGGCCTGCGGAGGCCGGACAGTGTCCGGGACAGAGGCGGGCGCCTGGGGACCGCCTGGGGCTGCCCGGCAGAGCGGCAGGCCCTACCTGCAGCAGGGCCAGCGTGACGGGCATGGCCTTCAGCTCGCGCAGCAGGTCCACGGCCCCCTCCTGGAAGAGGGCAGCTGCGTCAGGGACAGCCCCCGCCCAGTCCCACGCCAGGCCAGCCCCTCAGCACCCCGCGGACCCGAGCCTGCCCCCTTGCTCCCCAGCCCAGGTCAGATAACGACCCCTCCGCTCCCCAGGGGTGAGGGCGTCTCGTGTGCGTCTCCCCACAGCGTGAAGGGGCCCACGGTCAGCGCCCCGCCGCAGGTGACGTCGCTGCAGCCCTCCTCCTGGCCCCGGCAGCCCCGGCCAGGTGGCAGCGAGTGTCCTGGGGTCCACCCGGCCTGGCCCTGCCCCGGGACGCTGATGCCGGTGGGAGTCCCGCCAGCCAGGCTCCCCACCCACAGCGCCTGGCAGGGGGAGCCTCCCCGCCCCCGCCTCTCCTCTGCCCCAAGAGCCCAGGCCCCGGGGCCTGACCACCAGGGTGCAGCGTCCACAGCCGCCCAGGCTCGGCCAGAGCAGCGGCCACAACAGCGGGCGGCCCAGCTCGCAGCCTCCGGGACACGCCCTCGCGCTGGGGCCTCCGACCTGGACCTGCCCCTCGGGGC